TCCACAACGCGGCACCGCTATAAGAGAAACTTTTACGAACATAATCGGTGCGAGGTTGAGGAACTCCCAGCCTCATTTCGCTATTTCTTAATCTATAACTAGTTGTATAATTACGAAAGATGAATTTATTTGATAAATAATCAGGTGTTTCTCCATTTAAAGCTTTGAACATCATACTGGCTTTGGTAAAAAGCCTCTGATTCCTTAGGTTTTTCCAATTAAGTCTACGAAACAGGTCTGTAGCACTAGAATCATAAGGGGCAGACAACAATATACGGGCATCACGGTTTTGCAGCTTCTGAAGTTTTTCGGCGAGACGGGCTTATGCTGCAGGATCCCCATACTAAGCTGCAGTAGTCAAATTGGGGCTTAACCAAACCATTGAAGATGTTCAAAAGAGTGTAGAATGGTACGAAATTTCTGATTGGCTTAATTAAGCCTAAAGCTGAAGAAATTTTCTTACAAACACTTTCAATGCGGGTAATCCAGCTTAAGTTTTCATCAATGTATACACCGAGAGATTTTGTTAAAGACACCTGCTCAATGGGAAAATTATTAATGGTAAGAGACGGATTGTCTGACAAGTAAACTCGCCTTTGCCTTGAGGTTAATATTAAGAATTCGGTCTTAGTCAGGTTCAATGTGACCTTATTAGAAGACAACCAGGTATTAACAGATTTTAAATCTTTGTTAAGACAGTCATTAATTTCGTTTAAATCTTTGCCCGCGTAAGTAATGCTGGTATCGTCAGCGTACATTCGAGGATGGAAAAAATTAAGGCACTGCGGTAAATCATTAATATAGACTAAGAATAAAAGCGGGCCTAGAATCGTGCCTTTTCAATAATTTTGCCCGTGGTAGCAAAAGTTTTTGAGCGGATAATCTAGGATCAAATGTATGTCTATCTTACGAAAAATAATCTTCTTTCCAAACATCACTGTCCGGTTTCTGTGCAGTTCACTCGACGGTTACGGCTCTACTCGAGGCAACCGATAGCTGGGCTCATAATATTGACCGTACGTGGATTAATCAGTGCCGTTGTTTTCTTAGATTTAAAGAAGGCATTTGACACAGTCGACCATGAGATTCTCTTATTCAAGCGTCGTTCGTACGGACTTCGTGGACTTGCTTTGCGTTTGTTTCGCTCCTATTTAGAAGACCGAACACAAACCTGCCAAATCGATTGCTCAAAATCAACGTGAAAGTTAGGCCACGGTGATTTTTCCGCCAGAAACGACTTCGCCGATAAATTAGCTACTTTATCCTTTTTTCTCGTCTCTGAATTCCGATATTTGAGGCCTCAAATCGCCGATATAAAGTGCGCTATTCAACCACGCGACAACCCGCGGCCGGACCTCATCAGCAACGGAATACAAACAAGCGGGTCAATTCTTCAAATTATCGCTGATGGTTGGTTTTCGTTGCTGACGAGGACGATAATTTCCCTACAGCAAAGTAAAGCACGAGTCGGAGTTCTCATGTCAAACTGCAACTTCTGAATAGAGATCCCCCTCCCACTTTCAGCTGATGTTCAACAAACACAAACCCGGAAGATATTAAATGCCGGTGTTTTTTCTGCACGAGGGTGCTTTTGATCTTCATACAACTATCAGCATTCATGTGCTGTCTCTCTCTGTGTTATGTATTTTATTTTATTTTATTCTTTTAATTTGTATATTTATTTTTTCATGTGTTTTAGTTAGGCAGTGATCAAACATAATTCAGTTGTAGGTCAGAATTTTGATAATCAATCAGTTGAGGTCTACTTAAGTACCGTGCACACTATGTTGGAGAACTCCGTCATGACAACGCAGCTTTTCAAAAACTCTCTTCAAACTGGACGAATTTGAAACCACCAGCTTCATGTTTCATTGTGGACGTCACGGTAATCATGATTTCCTTGCCCGAGTTTTTCTGTAACACACATCCAAAATTACCGGTGATTGCTGCCATTTCAAATTTCTCCTGCGTAGTGTGGACGGAAAACATTTGATGCGTTTTCAGAGTGAAAACGCCGTTTTCAAATTTCTCCGGCGTATTGTGAGCGGGGCCTTATGCTGGTGAAGTGATGAACATATGACATGTTGAACATATGATATCTCACGTTTATTAAGTGATGGAAACGAAATGGCTAATACATGAAGTAGGTCGTAGACGTCAGCCGTGGTAGAACTACGAAAGAGAATGCAATCTCTGTAGTCATATTTAAACTCGAACAGCTAAACAGAGAACATGAGAAATATACATCAAAAAGGAAGGATATTGACCATAATGTCAGATGAAAGACTTACTGTTTTTATCTCACGGAGTTCTTACATGTACTCATTACAGTGCTTCCCCTCTACTTAAATACGTTTTATCCACTCAAACCCCATAAACTGCCCACATGCTGCTTCTTTCTCTTTGAAAAGTCTACACCTCTCTAACGATGTCCTCAAAACCTTTCACGTGCAGCTGCCACTGAATACTCTGACCATACAATTCACGTTAAATCATAAAAACCCTTTTATTTCTAGTTAATTTGTTTCCAGATACTGTAACAATATTTTCTCACTAAATTTGTTACGATCGGCAAACACTAGACGACACGAAGCGGGGACATGCTGCGACGACAGTTTTCCTCGTGTGACAAGCCCGTCTTCCGGCGAACGGGGAAGGGAAAAAGAAAGAAGGCCTGATCGCAGGTTAACGGAAAAGTTCAGACGGTTGTACATAATCAGCTGGTTTGAATTCGTGTGTCATGGAGCAGACCTCAATTTTCAATCTCAAAACGTGTGGACTACTTTGGCAAACCGTACCCGATACAACAGAAATGAGCCGACATCCCCATCTTCGTGTGCACCAAGTTGGGTACCGTCCAATGCGTACACACGGCGGCAGGGGCTTGTGTCCGCTTCACGTCCTAGCAACATGTCCCTAAGTGTGTGCCGACCTTAAGCATTCACCCAAGGAAAAACTCGAGCAAAGTCTCTCCATCAATTCATGAAAGATGTGGGCTAAACTCAACAGAGCTCACAGCGCATTGCCAAACTCGTAACCGAGACCCACATGACAAATGAACTCGATAACAAAGTCGCATTTCAGTAGGAAGTGAGCTGCTTTGATTTTTCCACTGCACGCTCCTGTCTTCAACTCCGCTGGCTCAGTGGAGCGGCACTATCGTAATGCAGATCAAACATTGGAACCAGATGAGCTTTGGTTTTATCGCGGTCGGAATCTATCTTCATTCATAGTATACGTCACTGTTGAAACCCCAAGCCCGACAATATAACCCACTATGGCTCCAATCGCACACGGAATGGGCCAAACCTAAAAGAAATCAAGAAATCCATAACTCATTCACAAATACTTAGTTCGGTGAGTCTTCATATTTTTAACCCGTATATTGCCCAAGGAAGCTACCGAGACCGTACTGCATGTAGTATGCACAAAAAATCAATCGACATTGAGGTACTAAAGAAGTGAACACTTGGTTTTAAAGGCTGCTGTACTAACAAGTATAGCCAGAAGTCAATAAAGTAACTTGTGTAATAAGAATAACCAGCAAGCCACACATGTCCGCAATGC